CTGAACTGAATTTCAGTCTGCAATAGTCCTTGACATCTTTAAAATAAATGAGTAAATGGGCTGGGCGTACCTTTACAATGATCTTAATTTTATGCTGATTTTTTAATTAGCTACTTTTCTCTTAATAAGTTTTCTTAATATTGATAAACCTGAAACAAAATATCCATCATTATAATAAATTAAGTAAATAGCTTTAATATCTGCAGTCAGTCTAAATCTTAAAAGCCAGTTACTCTTAAAAAAAAAAAACATAATACTCTGTCATGTTAAAGTGTTACCTTAAGAAGTCAGTTTCACTGTGAATACGTTTTCATTATTAGCGTTAACAAAAAAAGCCCAACTATTTATTTTTCAAAAATATCAAAATCGGGCCTTTCACTGAGATGATACAGCATCGAATAACTCCACCCTCTGGTCAAAGGAGGCTGAACTTAGGCTTCCTGAGGCAGGAGTGTGAAGGGATGGCTCGGGGCTATGCCTGACTTTGGCGGCACGCTGTGCACCGGGAAGCTGCTCCACACCAAGAGTGCCAGGCAGCACGGGCTGGCGGGCTGGCTCTGCCACGTGTCACCGTGTTTTATTAGCAACCCCCAGTGTATTTGTGTCTCTGACAAGCTAACTCTTATTTGGCAAACAGCTCAAGTTCTCGTCTGGGCCTGGGGATGGCTGTACGCGAGGACGCATGTTCCAGGGCCATGAAAGTCCCTGGGGGCGGGCACCGCCTACTGCCATTGGAGGCAGCACTGTCCCCGTGTCCCTTCACGTTTAAGTCCCGGCTGTGCTCTGAAATGACCACCTTTCATCCTCCCCATGAAGGACGCGGCCCATTCCCTTCCTGCTCTGCTCTTCAGAGCTTCCTGGGCACCAGATGCCATTCACTGAAGACGCGCTTCTCCATCAAATAAACACCTCCGTGGCCCCTGAGCCGGGCAAACGATGCCGCTTGCCGCCGCCCACGTGCCCCCGCCACCCCATCTGAAGATGGTCACTGGCACTCTCGGGTGGGCCATCATGGCAGTAACATAACACCGATCTACACAGCAAGGGGGTAAGTGACACCCGTCTACCACGGTCAGAGGCAGGGTCCTCTTACTTTCCACGGACTCTCACGAAGTTCTTACCTGTCCTGTGCCCTTGAAAACTGAACCCTAGAGATAAAAGGGGCAGTTACGAACTCACAGGAAGGTCAAAGGCGCCTCACCAAGACTTTTGAGGAAGCCACAGAGTCTTCTGGATGCATCAGTCACACTGAGGCTGAATTTAGCAGCAAAATAAGGCAAAGACTGAGGACACACGGACACTGCCAGCACCTTGTGCTTTGAGGTATCACATTTCTAGGAGAAAGAGAAAAGACTGTCACATGTGGGTGGTAACACAGAGAGTGAAAGTAAAGCACCTTAGTGAAAAATCGAGAAAAATCCATAACAGAAGTTCTATGACGAGACTAATAAAATAGACAAACGCTGGCAAGCATAACTGAGGAAAAAGAAGGAAACGATTAGGTTTAAAAAAATGAGACATCCCAAGAGATTTTATCAATTTTTATAACAATTTCATATTGAAATGCAAATATCTAGAAAAAAATAACTTTAAAAATATGTAAATTATAATATTGGCCCATACACAACTGAAGTGACCCAATAACAATTAAAAACACACACACGAATATATTTCAATTAAAAAAGTTCACACATTAAAGTGGTGCCCAGCTCCTAAGAGGCTTCAAAAACCCAGGTCACTTAGTGGCAAATTTTAACAGAATTTTAAGAAGGCAGACCCACCACTTCCTGTCTCTCTGCCCAACGCCCTGCCCAGGGTATTTCCAGGGCTCATCCACTCCATTCTCACTCAAATGTCGCCTCCTCCTCCGAGGGAGCTGCTGTGACCAGGAGGGGATCGGCCTGAGCCCAGAGCCAGGCTGACAGAGACACGGACGTTGCCTTTCCCAGACGACAGCCCTGAGTGGCCGACTCAGCCAACCCCAGCATCTCCCCTACTTCTGAGCTTTCGGTTTCATGAAATCACCATTTCCTTGTTACTTGCACCAGTGTGAGCCGGGCACCATTACCTGCAGCCGAGATGCTGACGCAGGTATCTACCAAAGCTCCGAACACATCTATCTACTCAACAGTAAAACCTTACAAACACTTTCTCCGAAGTCTGAAACAGGAGATTAGTTCCATTTATCACCACTGTTATTTGAGATTGACTTAAAGGTCCTAGACGACGTGATCAGGAAAAGAGGTTTAAGAGGTATATGGGGTGGAAAAGATAACGTTTATTGTTTGTAGGCAATAATCCTACAAAACCTAAGACAATCTAGGAAACTATTAGAATATTAAGTTTACAAAACAACCACGTACAAAAAAGACATGAAGATCAACGGCTTTTTAATACACCGACAATAACCGACATTACAGAAAATAATACAATGAAACCTAATATACGTAACATAACAACAAGAACAAATTACAGGTACAGAAAACTTAAAAGTAGCCCGACACAAACATTTATGAGGAAAATTACAGCCCTTTGCTGAAGATCACACAAAGAATAACTGAGTCAGCATGTCTACGGATGAAAATACTGTAAACTGAAACACAATTTCCCCCACACTAACCTATAAATCCAGTGCAACTCCAGTCAAAGCCCTATGGTTAATGTAGAATGATGTAAGATTAGTCAAGGAAATCTAACAAATGGGAAGATGGGCCCTACTAGATGAAGGCGCATTAAAATAAAAGTACACTGTTTTATAGTAAAAAAGTCTTTTAAAAATGCAAATTAAAAACTAGTAAAGAAGAGACCAATCTGCATAGTTCCATGAAATCAAACAACTCAAGTGTGAAGAGGACATCATACACTAAAAGACAAGCAACAGCCTGGGAGCAAGGGTCTGACGTGTGTGACAGCGTCCTGGGTTGGAGGCCGAGGACACCGAGCAGGACGGCAGCCATCCAGGTCCTTGGGGCTCCCTGGGGCCAGACAACCTCTGGGCTCGAGAGAATAACCCTCCGAGCTGTCACGTGCCTAGAGTCAGGGTTTTTGTTATCAGCAGCTGAAAGCAATTTCGAACTAATCTAGAACATGAACAAGCAGCATAAAATGTAAATTGTCGATAAACACGTCAAAGATTCTCAGTCTCACTAATGACCAAGAATGTGCACGTGAGATACCATCTACCCGTCAGACTGGAAAAACGTGAGCTTGATACCAGGTGTGATCAGGAAAGCTGGACAGAGGTATCACCTATCGCGTGGGAGCGTGAAGGGACACAGCCGTCCTCAGCGGCATCCAAGCAGAAACCGCCCGCACCACAGGGTTAGAAGTGCACAGGTCCCACGGAACGTGCCGGGGAAACTGCCACGTCGTAACTGAGCTGAAGTCATCACTCAGGTAATAAAACGGCTAAAACCATTAGGTTCCAGAGGACCAGGGCGGGGGGAAGGTGCACGGTGAACGTGGCCTCCGGCTTCAGAGTCTGTCCTGCCGCATGCTCACGGATCCCACACCAGGAAGGGTGCGCCCAGCCCCGACTACCGCTGACCGCGAAAGGACACGCGCTTCTACCTGAAACTGGAACCTACGACCACTGGATGACGTGTCTGGGAACAAGCCGCAGGGGTGGGTGGCAAGCAGTGGGAGGGCCGCTCGGCTGTGCCGAGCCCTGGCGCACCAGGCACCGCCGGACAGCCACGAGGGCTCCCGGGCCTGTGCACGGCGCGGCAGGGGCACTTCCTGTGGCGGTGGGAGCGAGGACGACCTGAGACACGCTTCTCAGCCCATCGGGCTTCGTCTTTCCTTTCTTTCTGTCGCTTTTACCTGGCTTCCCGTCGGGAAGACCATTACTGGAAGCTGAGTGACATCAGACAGCTCTGCAGAGGAGGTGGGCAGGGGTTTGCCCCAGGCTGATGAGCTCAACGGACAGAAGCCCCACCTCTGAGAGGCGGAACAGCGTGGGCTCAGCCACTGTACCATCCTACGACCTCAGGAATGCAGCCACTGTATGACCCGCACAGTGGAGGCCCCCCAAGCCGCGGGAGCCTGGTCAGTGGTACCGGCCACAGCCATCGCCCAAGTCACTGAAAAAGCATGACTCTGGGACACTGGATTTTATTCTGATGGTGAGCGGCTCTGGAGAGGGTCGATTGTGGCAAGGGACACAGGGCCAGGGCTGAGCTACGTGCACCATGTCCCAGGAGAGGCCTCCGTGCCCGCCCCGACCCCCACCTTCCCCCTCCAGGCCACCGTACCTTGTTAAGGTTCAGGACACGGAAGAAGTCCTTGGCGTTCTGCTGGGAAACCTGGACTCCTTCCTCTTCGGTCACACAGCTGTCACACGCTAGGCAGTCACTCAGAAATATCTTGGCATCAGCCAACTTATGGAATTCGCCCTTCTACAAAGGAAAGATGACGTTTTGGCCTGATTCTTCAACAAAAGCATGGTGACGTAAGCTTCCGTAGGAAGAGTAAGCATGGCTACAGCACAGCACACCGACCCCGAACACCCCAGGCGACGCCGGCCCCGCCTGGCACTCCAGGTGCTCAGGGACACGGGGCACAGCCCACGACGACACCAGGGAGTCTCAAGATGACAAGCCAGGGCAGAAGCAGGCTAGCTCCGTCACGCGGCAGGAGGAAAGCCGAGTTCCTGTGTCTAGGCCCTGGCGCGCCCCCCTCCTCCCCGCACCCCTTCTCTGCTGCCTCACGGCTCCGGCCGGCCAGCTCTGCTCACCCCGCTGAGCAGCCCTGCGCCCAGGAAGCTCGGGACAGCTCCGGCTCGCCACCGTAACGAAGCCCTCTGGCCGCCAGGACTGCGTTGTGGACGCTCCATACAAGCGACGCCGCTCACCTGGACGCCCAGACTGGATGCCCCTCGTCACCTCTGACTAGCGCTCTGCCGCCCGAGGCCCACTAAAACGCAGGAATCTAGGACTGAACAGCCCCCATCACCACCTGGCACTTCTGTGTCGTTGTCACCCGAGAAATGCAAGCTCTGAGGGCAGGACCCTTGACCTGTTCCCTTCTGTTCCTGGTGCCTCCCAGAGGCCCTGCGCGTGAGGGTGCCCAGTCAGCGGTTGGCGGACGAGCACGGGAATGTTCCGAAGCCTCCGGGCGCCGCTCCAGAGTTAACGCTCCGGACGGCTGGCCATTTGCTCTCTCTTAAACGTGATTTGGTAGGAGACGGTTCTGGGCAGGGCCTCCTGTCCATGAACGGGAGTGCATGCTGTCACCTCCCTCCTTTCCACATGCCCAAGTGTCACTGTGCAGCTCACCCTGGGACCCTGCTACGCTGTGGATGAACATTCCCGCGGTCTGAATGGGGCCCAAGAGCTTGCACTTCTAAGGACGTGACGGCGGTAGGTGTGTGTGCGTGTCCGGAGCTGCCGCCCCACAGCTCTGGAGCACGGGCCTGGCACACAGCTGGTGCCTCACAGATACTGACAAGCTGCACTAAGAATCCTGCCGCCGTTGCCCCTGCAGAGGGACCCGCGGCCACACTCTGCGCCGTCGTGCCCAAGAGGGCCCCATCCCGGCCTGCCACCCAGCCCTCCCACAGGCTCCCACGGGCCAGGCTGGGGCCCCGCGCCGCTCGTTTCTTGCTCCCTCTCCGTCTGCCCCCGAAACACCGGCACTCTGCAGAAGACTGTCCCCCGCCCTCCTCTCCAATCGGCCTCACTTCCCAGAGCAGTGCCAGCCTGCCAGCCCCAGCCCCTCTCCAATCGGCCTCACTTCCCAGAGCAGTGCCAGCCTGCCAGCCCCAGCCCCTCTCCAATCGCCACGTGCAGCGGAGCCTCCCCACCTCAACCACACCCTGCAGAAAGCTCAGGGTCCCTGGAGCCCGAACTGCATGCAGCTCCCTGTGTTAAGCCCTCTTTCTTGCTTCTGTCACTCTGGCCCACCAGCCCCACCACCCTCTGCCTCCCACGTGGCTTCCTTCTATGCTCCCCGTGCTCCGGGCAGCTGAAGCTGCCCTGTCACCTGCCCTCAAACATGTCTGATCTGCTCCTTTGCCCAGATGGCCCAACGGCTCCCACCGCCCCTCCACAGACCACTCCCCAGACCACAACTTCTCTGTGCCTGGTGGCCCCACCCTCAATTCTCACCACTCTGAGGCCCAGTCCAGTAGACTCTTCTGTGCCTGCCCGCCCTGACAGTGCATCCACCCACCGGGCAGGCGGGGCGCGCACTTAGGCTGTATACACACATTATCTCGCTGTTACCACAGCCCCAAGGGCGGGGGGAGGGGGGGTGTAACCCTATTCTCCAAGTCACTGATAAGGAAACTGGGGCTCCCAAGGTTAGATGTCGACCAAAGGGATGCAGCCCAACGGCAGGCGGGGAGGCCCCAGGCACCCCGTTCTCTCCTCCGCCTCAGCACCTTGCGTGCTTGTCCCGCCCCCGCCTCTCGCTAAGCTCTGCAGTCGCCAGAGTGCAGAGCAGTGCGGTGCACAGAGGACCAGATCAACTGAGCGTCAGACTGAGCGTCACACCAGGACTACTCAAGAGCAAACGTGTTTCTTCCAAGTTGCCTTCTCCATTTGTAAAATTGGTAACAGGACTTTCCATGGGAAGAAGTGACCTTAACTCCCTCCTCTCCCCCCACTGCATCCTTCTCTCCGTAAAATGGGGACAGGAGTAGGGCTTACTCAACATGCTGCATCTGAGCATGAAACGAGGTAGCACGTATACAGCGCTTCCTCTAGTGCCCAGCTCGAGGTATGTGTCCAAACTCCACTATCAGCTAAGGAGAATTTAAAAACGAGAACTGTGTTAGTGAGATCTGAATCATCGCATAAATTACCTATCTAAATCCCTATTTTACAGAATGGAACTTTTCATTAAAAAAAAAAAAAAAAGACTGGAAATTTAAATGTTACGCCTCAATTTTTAACCAATGACCAAAGCTGGCGTTTTCCATCGTCCCTAATGCAGGTGTCCTGCTGTATTATGAAAAGACTGCTCTTTGGCTCTCTTACCTTGACAGCCACGTGCCTGCACCTGACTGACCGATACGTCTGGCCCCGAGCCGGGGCCCAGCTTTGCCCATTCCTCTCTCGCTTTCCCACTTGGAGCAATGACGTGCACGGTGACGTGAGCCCCCAAACAGGAGAAAACCAGCAGCCGCCGTTTACTATGGGCTGATACAAAACTGAAAAATCTACTTGCCTCTCCATTCTCCTGGGCCGGACTCGGTACATCTACGGATGCATTCTCTTGGTCATCAGTTTTTGTTTTCTTACTACATTCCTTGAAAAGGCAAAGGAACACATGAAAGAACTTTAACCGACTCTCAAAAAAAAGTGTGCAATCTCTGACCCATTAACCTCATGTCTAGAAACTGTTGCTAAAGAAACAAAAGCACCTCTACTTGTGGATACACACACACCACTATGTCCTCACCGTTCAACTGAAAGCTAGGAGCCTTGTGTCTTCCGACAGGTAAATTAGTGCCCTACCACCTGGGCGTGCATATACCTAGAATACACTGAACTAGAAGATCGTGAAATGCTCTGAAGAGGCGGCTCCTGTGTAACATTAGGTCAAAAAAAAAAGAGCAACTGGTGGATATTTAGAATCTAGTTTTTGAAAAGACAAACAAAAAAACCTCTCAGGGTGCCCTGTACGGTTCCTTATGGCATCGCAGCTAAGGAACAGGGTTCTCACAGTTATCAGGGGAGCGGGACCTGCCCGTTTCCCTCCTACACTTATTCTTCTGTTACTATAAGCACTTGAAGTTTTCAGAAAGTACAGAAACCCCTGACGCTTCCAGTCGTTCACATCAAAAACGGTGGTCGCTATGGCTGCCCTGAGGAACGGGCTGCTCCTCTGGGGTTTTTGGCTTACAACACCATTTTGAAAGGACAGTTAAAACACCGAGAAGTAGTAAGACAAGGCCACGCCGGAGCGAGGTGCTGGCTCCGGGGGGGGGACCTGCCAAGGTAAGCGACCAGCACGGACAGAGCACCTGGCGAGCGCGCAGTTAGTGCCCAGGCCACCGGCTGAGCGAGTTTCCGGGCGCGTCCAGCCCTAACACCCGGCTCACCTGGGCGACACAGACCAGGTCTGACCGCAGCGGTCTCTAAGTCGGCGAGGTGAGGCTGAGGCCGAGGCCCGCGCGGCTGCTCCTCCCGGCCGGGGGC